TCAGGAGGCATCGGGGAAGGAGAGGGGGAAGAGAGGGGCCAGTGCCGGGTGCATTCTTGGCCCTGTGACCACGGTGAGAGCTTGGGGGGTACTGTGTGGATCACCCCCGGAGTTTCTCAGCTGCTCAGCCAGGGAGCTGGGACGTTGCCCACCAGCGGTCACTGTCACTGACTTAGGACTGCTCCCAAGGACAGTGGCCCCTGGCAATTCTGGCCTGCCCGTCTGCGAGCGGGCCAAATACTCGTCTGTAGCAGAGGAAGCGCCCATAAAAGGCCGCAGGCACCGGAGGAAGCCATTGCTGTCTGGGACGACGCCTGCCGAGGGGTACAGGCTGGACACCGACAGTGATGCTCCAGCCGTGTCCTGAGCTGACAAAACCTTCCCGGGTCCCCACGGAGCCACTCTCTGCCTTCCAGCTGTGAGCTGCTGACTGGACAGCTTTGTGGCTTGGACAACTGCAGGGAAGCCTTCTGTTGTCAGCAGTCTGAGGGGGTGCTTGTAGTTTCTCTGCGGCCCCCAGGCACTCCTTCGCCTGGCCCTGTCCTTCAGGAAGGTGGGGTGTAGTTTGCTGGGGTTGCAGTAACAAAGCACCACACATGGGGGCTTCAACAGCAGAAATGTCCTCTCCCACGGGCTGGAGGCCCCAAGTCTGAGACCAAGGTGTGGGCAGGGCTGACTCCATCTAAGTCTGCGAGGGGGACCTGCTCCAGGCCTCCCCAGCTCCGGGGGTTCCCCGGCCATCCTGCGCTCTTTGCCTCGTAGACGTGTCGCCGTGATCTCCGCCGTCGTCTTTATGTGGCCTCTCCCTGTGTGCCCTCTGTGTCCGCAACCCCCCTTTTATCAGGACGCAGTTGTATTAGATTGGAGGCCCACCCTCGTCAATATGACCTCATCTTGACTAATTATATCTGCAAGGATCATATTTCCAAATAAGGGCACATTCTGAGGTACTGGGCGTTGGGATTCCAACATGGGAACTTGGGGAGGACACGGTTCAACACGTAAAGGGTGGGAGAAGGCGGCAAAGGGGGCTGCCACGTCGCCTGCGAGGGGATTTGATTCAGGTCAGCATAGGCCCCCAGGCAGGTGGGGGTACGTGCCGAGGTCACCTGCCGAGCAGGGCACCAAGCGTTTCATCTGAGACCCTTGAGGTTTGAATGAACGGGCTCCCTTCCACTCGTGTGGCTTCACCACTGCTCTTGGTTGTGAACACGAGGGCCCTTTGGACTTCATCCAGCTCTGTTGAGGCAGCCCCGAGGGTCCTCCCTGAACCGGGGGCAGGGAGGCGGGGTGTGGAGCTCCCATGAATGGCAGGTGGAGCAGAGTCTGTGGTGAGTGGCTCTACTGTGCCTGTTTCAGCCTCCGGGCGGCGGGGGGTGAGGGAGGGGCGGAGGGGCAGGCGGAGCGAGGTTGTCTTACGCTCCCCACACAGACTCAGAACCGGAACGCGGTCCAGGGTTTCAGCCTTGGAGTCCCCAGAGCTAGTCGCTAGCCGTCCTCCTCCCCCTGGAGGATAATGCATTTAAAACTTCTGAGCTGTCTAGACTTGTTATCTGGCCTCTAATTCCTGAGAGCCCAGAGCGGGCAGCAGCGGGACTGTCGAGATAGCAAGAGGGTGAAGTCATTGGTGTAAATCCTGAGGCAGGAAGTCAGTTCCAGGGACGATGGATGAGCGTGGGCCGGTGCCCGCACAGGGGGCAAGATAACGCGTCTAGACTCCGCTGGCCGTTTCCTCCTCTTCCTTTAGGTGTCCTATCGGCTGCCCCGTGGCCTTCCTGCTCGCTCTTCCCGTGCCTCGCAGGAGACACCCTCTCAGGAAGACCTCACTTCATTTTCGGTGTAGGGGGCTCTGGGTGACGTGGCCTCGCTGGGGGTGGGTACCTTCCCTAAGCCACAGCGACGGCGGGAAAGGCCAGGCTGGCCTCTGTCACTCTGTCATTCCTGAGAGTTCAGTGGGTTAGGGGAAAAATGACGTTTTCTCTCGCCGTTATCCAAAGGTCAATGGAAGGTCATTGGTGGGATCTGGAGGAGACAAGTTGATGTCCGACAGACCCAGAGATTTCCACAAGTCCCGGGGAGAAAAGAGCCTGGAGCAAGTCTTATCTAAAAGCCCCTGGGAGCTGTGGAACGCTGCATAAGCTGCATAACCTCCTACTTCCGGAAAGTGTGGCTAATTTTGTGGGCCCCTGTGCATGCTGGGCTATCCTGAACCCTGGAGTTGGGGTTGGGAGTGAGGTCAGAAGGTCATTTGGTTCACTCCCCTGCCTCCAGGCAGGATTCTCCCAGCAAAGAGTCGTGGTGTGTGCTCCAACAAGGAAGGACACAAGTGGTAGCTTGGGAAGAGAACAGACCTGCGAGCGCCTGCAGAGAGTGATGACGTGGTGACCCCGCCAGCTGTCCAAGTCTGCGAGCCCAGCTAGCGCTTTGGGGTTTGAACCAGTTGTGCGGAGATCTGTGGGGCACATCTGTGGAGAAGAGCACAGTGTGTCCAGAGAGCAGCCACCACTGCTGTGGCACCAGGCACACAACATCAGTGACAACAATAAAAGCGAAAATGTCTTGAGCGCTTGCCATTCGCTAGTTTATGCCGAGTGGCTACATGTATGCATTTAATCTCTTTAATCATCACATAAGCCTGTAAGCCCATGAGGGCATCCTATTGCATTTGTCCAAACTGAGGCTCAGAGAGGAAAGGTATCTGCCCAAGAAGGAGAGGTAGAGTTTGGACCCAGTTGGAGCTGACTTCCGAGCCCAGGGTTGAACAGCTAAATGCTTCTGCCATGTGAACATACCATGTGTGTTCTGTTCTGTTGCACAGGTGGGGGCGGCTGAGGGTGGCCCAGGTTAATAGACAGGATGGCCAGGAGGCCAACCCACATCTTTAGATCCCAAATCCTCCATTGCTCCACTGGGCCCCTCCTGTCCCACCACAGGACAGGTGCAGAGGTGCAATGCCCTCTGGCAAAACCTGTTGCTCTTTTATGACCCATGAGGCATGTGGAGGGGGACTCCCTCCATGAGGATTTATCTTTCCTACCCTCCTTTAAATGAGGATGATCCAGCACCTACTATGCTTCCGGTATAGATGTGAGAGAAAGCTCTGGTGTGTGAAAGGAGGTCAAAATCAGCAAGGAGAGTGCTTCTAAAGATGCAGAAGGACCTGGAGTCTCACCCAGCCGTGAACAGAGCCTCAGGCTGGAGTTGGACCCCACAAAGGGGGTTGCAGAGACCGTGAGGAGGAAAAAGGAGGACGAGCCTGAGAGTGCCTGGCAGTCCCAGATGGCCATGGCGGGGATGCTGCCTATGGGAAGTGGGATGTTTATCATGAAGGCCCTTATCATTAAGTAGGGGGCCTGTTAAATAAATAGATGATGAATGGGCCATTCAAAGGAATAGTATGCAACCATGAAAAGGAATGAGGTTTCTTTATATAACAATATGGAATGATCACCAAAGTAGTTGAATGAAAAGCAACAAGATTGTGTGTGTGTGTGTATACTTACACACGTAAGTATACATACTCATATACTTACATGCACATAATTATATGTTTATATTCCTAAAAGATCTCTAGATATTGGTAGCCCTGGGAAGGGGTCTGTGGGAAATGGTGAGAGGGAGATACCTTTTTATGTCTTGAATTTTTGGCCATGTGAATATACGACCTTGAAAAGGAATTAAAAAGCTCCATGCTATCCTCTAAACTTGGGTGGCCTCTTGAGTAATAAGCAACCCCCTTTATGCCCAAGGACTCTTGCCCTCTCCCCTGGGTGTCCCAGAGGTGAGCGAGGGGCCCTTCTGTGGGCAGTGAGAGTAAGCCTGCGTAAGGGGTGCACAGTGCCCGCCTGTCCCCGTCTCGGCTCCCAGGCACCCCCGCCCTGCCCCTGGCTGGTGCTGCTTGGCTGTGGGCCAAGGATGCCCAAGCACAGAGGGAATTCTGCAGCACTGAGGTCCTAGAACCCACGCAGAAACCAGTGCCCTCAGCCCCCCGAGGGCCCAGGCGGCTTCCTGCAGGCTTAGAAAAGAGTTCTTTTAAGAAGTTTAAATGCCTTCTCCCAGGCAGGGGCCGGAATCCTGAGAGGGCAACACCCAAGGATTTATTGGCCTTCCCAGGGCTCGGGCTTTTTGACGGCCCCATGAGAGAGGCAGGGGGTCAGGGGTTATCTCCGGGTGGGCAGCTGGGGGCTGCCTGGGCCCCCTCCCTCCTGCGGCATCTGCTAGAACCATTAAGGGGTCCCTCCCTAGAAGTGCCCGGCTCGGGTTTCCTACCTCCGAGCTGCCAATACACTGTGCAGACCCCGGGTGGGGCGAAATGGACGTTTCTCGATTAAAATGAAGAGGGACAGTGCGCAAGAGGGACAGGTGGGGAGAGGAACAGCGGAGAACAGCCCCCGCGGAGATAAGTGTGAGGCCACTGGAGCGTGGCCGCTGTGGAGGCCCTGGGGGGGTGAGGGGACATTTGTTCTTGCTGCAGTCAGTCCTAACAAATGGTAGCGTGAGGGCCGTGCGGGAGGCCCTGGGACCCACCCGTGAGAAGTCAGAGACGAGACCGCAGGATTTCGAATTCCCGGTTCAGCCTGCTGGAAGGCAGTGCGGTGAGGGTCAGGCGGTCCCCACTGGGGAGCCTTGGAGGAGTTAGGCCATGCTCTGGGCCTCTGTTTTCACATCTGTAGAATGGGACTAATAATAATTCCTCTTTCCTGAGAGTGTCGGTGATTACCTGAGATGCTGCAGGGCAAATGCACGGCCACAGTAGCAGCCAGTCTCCCTCCCAAGAGCTTTACTCAGGTGGCCCAGGCAGTCCCCACAAGAATGCCATGCGGGGGTTCCAGAGGAAGCAATTGAAGCAGAGAACCGAGGACCTTGCCCAAGGTCTCGGAGCTAGTGAGTGGTGGGGTCTGGATTTGAACCCAAGCCCCTGCTGGGTGGTCTTCATCCATCGCCCGACTGCAGCCAGACCTCTTTCCCAGCATGCCACTAACCCAAGCCCCTCGTTTCAGGCCCACGGGATGGTGATTTTCCTCAGCCAGCGGGTTCCTGTGTGACTTGAGTGCAGGTAAGCTTTGATTTAATGTCCGTGGTTATTTCTCAGACTCCGGTGAACCTGGAGGATGCCCTTTCTCAAGGCCCAGAGAGGGAGGAATCCATCCTTTCCACAATCCCCAGAGAGATTTATGCTGTTGGCGGGCCGGCCATGCATTATTACATTTCCTTCTCTTTCATTAATCATCCTCCGGCCCTCGTTCCTCCTGACAGCCCGGAGAGCTCACAAGCCCAGGGTCTTGCTGCCGATTAGGATGCGGCCGAGCAGGCCGGCGCTTATCTCTGGGAGAGCTCAGCGCTGCCTTGATGGAAGGGCAGCGGCTCCCGCATCACCACCCCTTCAGGAAGGAAGCCCGCCCTCCCCAGCAGCCAGGTGCTGACGGGATGGCCCAGCAGGGCTGCTGCAGAAACAAGTGCTGACTCGCGGGCGCCTGGTCCACATTCACGCTGGGACAACGATAATCACTCCCTTCTCGCCGTTTCTTGAGAATTTACAAGGTTGCCGTGCCAAACGCTGCACTCCGTTACCTCGTGTTTAATTGTCTCAACGCCCTCTAAGGGGCACACAGCTCATCACCCTTCCTGCACGAGGAAACGCTGGTCCAGGGAGGCGGGAGGGACAGGCCCCCGTCAGCGAATAGCACAGCTAGGGTGCCTGGGGGTCCTGCCCTCCACTGCCTTCCGTCATGACAGGCCATGGGATTCCGTTTTCAAGCCTTTTCTTAACAGCCTCACGGAGATATAATTTGCATCCATACAAGTCACCCATGTGACGTGTACAATTGAGTGGTTTTTCGAATACTCACAGATATGTGCAGCCATCCCCCAGTAAATTTCGGGGCAGTCTCATCACCCTCAGAGCACCCCTGCACCCTTCAGCTATCACCCCAGCCCCCTCATTCCCGAGACCTACGACCCCCAAGTCTGCTTCCCGTCTCCATGGTGCACAACTGGTTAACAGACAGCCGTGGACTAGATGCTGGCCGTCGCCCGTCGTGTCTCCTCTGTCCTGGTTCCGAGTCACCACTACCTCCAAGGCCCCCTGGGGTGCTTGGCCAGCCCGAGCGGGGTGTGTCTGAGCCCTGGGGGCCACCCTTGCTGGCTGGGTAGAACTGGTGGCATGGCGGTGGGGGGGGGGGACACTGGGATAACTCAGGGAGGGGGCCGCGGCCCTCAGGGAGCTTAAGGCCCGGTGGGGGTGGAGAGGACGGGGGTGGGCAGGCAAGGCCCAAGGGTTTGCAACTTGGGGCCAGTGGGCAGTGAGGAAGGAGAGGGGACCACAGGCACACAACATACGTTTGAGTTGAAACGTGAGGTGCAGTGGGAGGTGGGGTCCAAGTGCAGGGAGGCGGGGGCAGGGGCCTCAGGAAGGGAAATGGCCGAGGCCAGAGAGCAGGGTCCCTCTGGGAACTGCAGAGAACTCACCGTGAAGCCCAGGAGGACCAGTGGCGGGGGCGCAGACAGGAAAGGGGGCAGGCGGCTTGGAGGCAGGACCGGAAATGTGAGGCCACTGAGTCTCAGAGGGGAAGGGGCTTCCTGTGAGCCCCTCAGTTATAGGACCTTCTTCTCTGTGCTCTGTGCTCTGAGATCCTACCGCAGAACCCAGGCCTGGGGCTGTCAGGGCCAAGCTGCCTGCCTGGGCTCTCTTGCTAAATGCTGCACCATATTTCACATCGGAATGACTCCTTAATACTTACTAATCAGGAGAAGTCCAGATTGTGTCTTCCTTCTCAATGTCAGAAGGTCTGAGTCCCTCCTGGCAACCACTGGATCATGTGCCCTTGGTGGGCATGACCCCATGATGCTCCCTCTTGCACCTGACTCCAGGCCGTGGGTTCCTCTTCTCCCACCTGGCCTGCCCCACTCATCCGTGTCACCTCCAGGCCCTGTCCTTTATTTGAAAGTGTTCAGAGTGGACATTTCACCAGGCTCTTGCCAGCAAGATGGCGCCTTCATGCAAAATACAAACGTCAGCCCCTCTGGACGGACAGATGGCTCCAAAGCACCCGCCCCGGGCAGATGGATCCTGAAAAAGTGCGCCTTCCTCGGGGGGCTGATGTGGGGTGCAGGGTGCCGGGCAGGGCTAGCAAGCCTGTGTGTGCAGAGCAGGGCCTCGTCTTCCTCAACAGCCCCTCTCTGATGGGTAGGCAAGCCCGGAAGCCTAACTGAGAAGAGACAGTGCTTATTGAGCTCCTACAGTTTGCTACCAGCACGAGGGCCAGGAGATGAGGATGGAGCCGGTGGCCTTGCAGCATTCCAGCGTGGATGGGGAGAGAGAACCCACGGCTCCCCTGGCCTCTTGCAGGCTGGGTTTCCTGCCTGGCGCTGGGGATCCAAGGGGGGGTAGGGGTGGGCGGGTGAGGTTCCCCCTGCCCCCTTCCCCCACTGGCTTCCACACCATCCATCAGCCCACGGCTCACCTGTGAAACCCAAGGCTGGGAACCGGAGCGCTGTTCCGTTACCGAATCGAGATTTATGGGAACATGACAGGCCTGCAGGGCCTTTATGACGTGCATGGCGCCAGTCCCTCCTGTTAACCTGCTTGTCCCTGGTGGGGCGGGGCGTTTTACGACTGCCGACACCACTCCATCTGCTCCTGAGCTTGTGGCATTCTGACAGTGAAGACAAAATGTCCAGCTTTGTCCGGGCCCCGCGGGCTGGATTATCACTTCGGCACTTGAGAGCTCAGCCCGCTTCCCCCTGGAGCAAGACCCCCGGGCGGGATCTCTGGCCCCTCCCCTTGGCTCTGCCTGCTGTGAATGAAATTCAGATCATCGCGCTCTGACAGTCCCGTGAATTATCTGTTTTCCAACCTGCCTCCCTGGATCTTTCATCTCCATAGCAGAAGCCACGTCAGGGTGTAAAGAGGGGGTTTCTTCTCGTGAAATAATCCATTGACGTCTCTACAAAGGCCCCCGTGACACCCAAATTGCCCGAGCCTCAAGGAAGAAAGACACGATTTGGGGGCCATTTGGAACCTCTTTAAAAAGAAGGGCAGGGCCTCCCGGGGGCTGCCTGCTGGCGAATTACCATTCCAGCAAGGTGGGAGGGTGTCCAGGCCCGGGACACTGGGCCAGCGCTTCAGTGATCTGGTTAAAGAGTTAAGCCCATCAGGAAGTTGGAAGCTTGTGGATGCGCTGTGCGTCCTCCTCGTCCAGTGCACCGCTGCTGGTGTCCGTCCAGAGCGAGGACGCGGAAGGGCTTTTTCCATACTAAGTGACAGCGCTTGCTCTCCGTTTACCTGTCAACAGTTGTTCACGGACTGCCATGTGCCGTGAGCCCTGGCGTCACGGAAACCTAAGTCTGAACCCCCAGGTTGGCCTTCAACAGCTGGTGACCCCAGGCAGGCCACGGGACCCCCCCGAGCCTCAGGTTCTGTGTCTGTAGCAGCAGCCAGGTCACGGGGCAGCTTGGAGGCCACGCAAGACTGTGGGCAAAGCACTTAGCGAGGCATGCAGTAAGCGATCAGGAAGCACTCGAGACGCTTGCCCCGACGATGGCGAGGACCGCCGCCACTGCTGCTCTTTCGTAGACCTCACCTGGAAAATACGTCCTGGGCCCTAAAGAGCTACGTAAGGCCCTGTGCGGGCCTCCCCTGGGCCTGGCTGCCTCCATCCTGGGATTTGCAGGTGCTCCTGTGTCCCAGGCCCTAACGGGGCCTGCTTACACCAGGGCCTCAGTCTGCAGCTGGGGAGGGACCAGCCAGCTGAGCAGCTGGGGAGGCAGCCCTGTTTGTTGGCCTTGGATGGCCTGATTGTTTTTATTTGCAAATGAAAAGTAAGAACCACGCGCCCAGGCCAGAGCAGCGTGATTTCGTCCTCAGTGTCTCCTCCGGCCTCTCTGTCCGGAGGCCCGCAGGACACGGATGCCTGAAGCAGTTCAAATAACTGAACCTGCTGTGACCTGGGCTGAGATCGAGAGAGTGTGTGCTGGGGTGGCTGCCGAGAGGCGTGGGGCGCCGTCTACACCAGGAGCTTCTCGGCAAGCCTCTGCAGCTTGGGAGAGAACAGAGATCTGGTGGGGTTAACTTCACCCCGCCGGTCCCCCCCCGGGCAGGACTGGTTTGTGGACACCTGTGCATGGCAGGGATGATCTTAGCTCACCTGCGTTAGCTCAGCACCTGTATACCCACCCCTACACCATGCCCTTCATAGAAGGAGTTACTATTAGCAGTATGATCGGGGGAAGGCAAAATGGTACCGACATTTGGAGGACAGTCTGGCAGTTCCTTCCAAAGCTAAATATGCTCGTACCACACGATCCAGCAGTCGTGCTCCTTGGTATTTCTCCAAAGGATTGAAAACTTACGTTCACACAAAAACCTGCACATGGATGTTTATAGCAGCTTTTTTCATAATCACCAAAACTTGGAAGCAGCCAAGATGCCCTTAGGTAGGTGAGCGGATAAATAAACTGTGGCATGTCCGGACAGTGGAATATTATTCAGCACTAGATAGAAATGAGCTCTCAAGGCCTGAAAAGCCACAGAGGAAGCTTAAATGCTAAAGTGTGGAGCGGCACTTAGCATATGGCTAAGGGAAAGAAGCCTGAAAGTCTGAAAGGGCTACGCGCTGCGCAGTGCCAGCTGCCAGCTGCCCTCCTGGGGGTCTGGCCTGCGGATTCTGGACTTGTCTGGCCAGCCCCACTATCACTAAGCCAGTTCTTGAGCTAAATCTCTTCTTATCTGTCTCCCTCTGGTTCTGTTTCTCTGGTTTGGCACAGACTGACGTAATCGCACCACGGCTGTGTCACCTAGGGCGACTTGTCTAACGTCTCTGCCTCAGTTTCCTCGTCTGCAACATGGGGCTAATAAGAGTGCCCACCTCCTTAGATGGGGACTAAGTTACCCCATGGCAGGCACTGAGAATGGCTGGCACAGAGCAGGTGTGACTCGTAACTCCTGCTTTGCTGAGGAAGCAATGGAAGCCCAGGAAAGTTCTGTCACTCACTTGGGGCGTCACAGCGCAGAAGTGGCAGAGCCAGCGTGGAATGTGACACCTGTGGCCCCAGCCATGCTAACGCCACCTCCACTCACAGGCAGTTCTGATGGCATTTGTGCATGGAAGGGTTTGAATGGCCTGTATATTCTGTGCTTTCTGCAAAAGAACTGAGGTTCACAAGGGTTAGAGCGCTAAGTAGTCATGACAGCCCTTCGGAGGGAGGGAAGGTGGCGGGCCCATCACATGGCCACCACGTGGCCAGGCCAGGAGACGGAGGTCGGAGAAGCCCAGCCACACTAGCCACCTCTGTGCCCAAACGTCGCCCAGGACCCGGCGTCCGTGGCCTCCAGCGGGTGCACTGTCTTCCCGGGGGCCACTGAGAGCTTCCCATGGGTTTTTATTAGAAACAATTGGAGGATCCAGCTGCCCCCCAGACGTTTCGAGTTGCACATTTTCCACATTCCTCCTCGACCTGGCACGGCCGGGACACTGTCATTTAAAAAAAAAATAATAAATCTGGTATTTGAAATTAAAAAAAAATCACAGCCTTCCTTTCTTTGACTCATTTCCTGTGGTGTTTCCCTGGCCTAATCGAAACCTGACAGGCTTCGTGGCAAAGGAAGCCAGACCCCCCTGCGCCGGGGCAAAGTTCAGCGTGGAGAATGGTGTTTTTGTTCAGGGGGGTGGGAAGAGGTGATGGTGAGGGGGCTTCCCCTACCGAAACCAAAAAGCAAAGCAAAGGACCGAAAGGAAAACATCCTCCTACGTGGCATCCAACTCAGCCCTCAGAGTCGGGATTGAGATTTGAGCCGCAGTGCCAGGAGGGGGGCATCTGTGCCTGGTCTGCTCCCCGGTGCTCCTCTTGGGCTTTACAAGGACCACTGAAGCCCTTGGGGCCCCAGGGTCTCTCCTGCCAGGAGTGGACAGGAGCAGTGTTCTCACTACCTCCCCGGCACCCACGGAGCTGGATGAGAACAGGAGACTCCGGGCAGCGACGTGGAGCCCAGAATGCTGGGGGAGTAAGCATTGTGGAGCGCCCGACACGCCAGCGTGCGTAAGCTGGCAACACCTGCTTTGCTGGCGTTTTTACGCCGGCGCCGGCCACCATCGCTGCCTTGTATGGAGCGTTTCCTGTGCTGCTCACCTTGCAGGCTTTACCTCATTTTATCCCCAGACAACCTTAGAAGGTGGAAGGCATGATGGCTGCTGCCACTCTATGGAGGTTTGGGGAAATGGAGCATCTGAAGTGCCACCCAGCCGTGAAGGAAGCCACATGACCAGGCTGGCGCTTTGAGCCGCCGCGCTCTGCTCATTTCAGGGGGCAGCCGGCAGAAGGGGGGAGGCTCACACACACGCCACTTGGAAGGCTCGGCAAGTGTTGAGAAATAGGCATTAAGGAGGCTTTGAGAAGAAAGAAGACGCAGCCTTAAACCCACAGGGCTAAAGGGCTAGAAACAGCCGTGGATGCCCTGTTACAAGCAGCATGACCATTAGACACCTTGGAAAACCGGGTGGCAGTACCTTCGAAACTAAACGTCCACCTATTCTATGACCCCACATATACACCCCAGAGAAATGAATCTGTACATCCACCAGAGACACATGTGGACCAAAAACACCCATAGCAGCTTTGTTCACAATAACCCCAAGTGAGAAAATCCCAAACGTGCATCAATTACAGAATGGGTAAATAAATTGCGGTACATTCACAGAAGGGATTACATTCACAGCAATGGAAAAGAACGGAACTCCTCTGCACACACGCGAATGGCTCTCACAAGCTAACAATGAGTGAAGGAGGTCCTACCACGAGAGTACGGACTGTGGGGTTCTGCTCATGTGAAGTTAGACAGCGGGCAACACTGATGGTACCCATGGTGATGGGGGTTCCCTTGGAGATGTTGATTGGGAAGAGGTACGGGAGAGCCTTCTGCTGTACTGGAAATACTCCCTATCTTGATCTGGGTGGTAGCTACACCAGGTTTACATATTTAAAAATTCACTAAGCTGCTGCGTGCTTTACTATGTATTTATAACACTTCAGTTAAAATCGAGGAAAAAGCACAGGCATTGTCCTCAACCCGCTTGTAGCCTGGTTTGGGTGATTGGTTCACTCCAGGGCGTGCAGAGAAGGGATGAACCAGTGGGGATTGGGGTGGTGGGGCAGAAAGAGGGGACATTGAAGCCTGAGTTAGACAGATTTAGAATCTCTTTCAGACCCTCGTTGAGGGTGATCTCTACCTTCATACATTATTTTCAAGGTCCATGTCAATGTGTGTGCACACACATGAATCTCTTTCTCTGTATGTGTGTGTCTGATTTGAGCACCAAATACAGAAAGTTTAAACGAACGATTTCTTTGGCATTGTTACCACCCGTGGTCTAAGTACACCAGGCAATTATTCAATGGTTCTTGTTTTTCCTAAACACCTAAACCTCTGGTTTGGCCTCTGACCCTGTCCGTGTATATTTAGGCAGAGGACAGAAGAGTGAACTCCCACCTGGCTCGGGGTGGGGCTTTGTGAAGGCAGCCATGGGAGGCTGTCACTTTGACAGTCACACTGCAGTTGTCCCACATGTGACAACCCTTTGTAAGGGTCCTGAGCATACCACCCCCCAGAAGGCCCTCTTCCCAGTTAGCTATCTCAGGAGCCCTTTACAGAATAATAAAACAGACTATTGCCCCAGAGGAGCATGTGTTGTGGATTGAGTACTCGCCAGGCTTGGGATGCGTCCTTAACTATTGAGAGTAAGGCAGACAGGAAATGGAACGCTACCAAGCGTGGGGATATTGGATAAAATAATAACGGAAGATGGCCCCTATACTCTCTCTTGCTAAATTAAGGTTCTGTGCATGTCTAAACCTAAGATTGATTCTTGAGTGAAGATGGTCATTATTGGAGAGTCTACAGCAAGCTCATGTCATCCCATTTGTGCTACAAGGAAAAGTGACCCCACTAAAACGAATGATCTGGCTAACAGAGAGTTACCACACGGAACCTGCACGTGTAACTGGTGTTCAAAGAACTCATTCAGATCAGAGCTTTTCAAATCAATAGACATTTAGGGAGAAACTGCTATGTTCCATGTTCTGTCTCTAGCACTGTTGGTCACGGATGAAAATGACCCAGTCGTGCCCTCAAGGAGCTCTTGGTTGTATATCTCAGTGACACTGTCCTTCTGCCCAGAAAGGAGCAGTGGCCAACTGACAGAGCAGTTGGGGGGTTGGCCGTTCTTTTGAGTCCTGACTGTGAATGCCAATCCCCTTATACTATATACGCCCAGAACGAGTAAGGAAGCTCTGATGGCTGGAAGGTAACAAGTTCACACACATAAACTTGTGAGTGGATGCCATGCTGGTGGGTGGGTATCAGTGAAGAGGCTGGATTTCATGTACATGATTCAGGGAGCGTGTTAGAGGCAAAGGTGGTTGCTTATTCCTTTGTGCCCTACGTGTACCTTCGGTCCACCGGAATTACGGCAACTGTAGAATTGTATTACATTTATTGATATGCGTGACTGTTCAACCGAATGATGAAGCTCTTGAAAGCCATGGCCATGGCTTAGTCAGCTCTGGAACCCCAGGCCTGACACCTAGGGGATGCTTACTAAATATTTATTGAAAGAGGTAACGGATGAGTGAGGCTGAGAGATTGAACGTGCCCTTGGGGAGATTAGCATTTCCAAGATTTACTTTCTCATTTAGAAAAGGAGACAGTGATGCCATCAGCTCACCATTGTGGGGTCACTGGGAGGGCCAGGTGAGACGATGCAGGTGGGTGACAGTGACAGCAGCAGTGCAGGAGGAGGATGGGAGGGAGAGGGACTGGAGCAAAGGAGTTTGCTTTGCTGATCGTCACTAACAAGTCAGCATTAAGGTTGGAATTTGTTGTCCAGTCCTGGCTTGAGAGGACTTTCTCTAGAAGCAGAAGACAAATGAGGGACCCAGGCCCCCGCCTTGGAACTCCATGTGAACTCCCCTTCGTGGGCTGAGGTCAAACTCTGGGCAGTGGATTGGCTCATTAAACAAATGACCTAATTTAGTACTTAAGACACCCAAAATTTACTAGACTAATTTGTCAAGTCATCCAGAACAACCACACCGCAAACGGTTGGCCTCATAGGTTTTAATGGAATGATAGACAAAATTCAGATTGACTACTCAATAAAAGTTCCCGTGAAGGCAGGACTGACAGTTTAGTCTACGGAACACGGAGGAGACTTTTATGGGCCAGTGTAAATCTTTTGACGGACTCTTTCATCTCGTCCTTTCCATTTTTACCGCCTCTGAAGGAGAATGGTTTATGGAACTGGGGGGCAGGAAGCAGGAAGTAGGAAACAGGAAGTCGAAAAGTTCTATTTTGGACGTGGCAGCTGATAAGCAGGTTAAGGCTTGGTACCCTGGGTGAGCTGCTAGTGGTGGGACTGAAAGAATGAAGCACGTTTGTCCATCACCCAGCATCAAAGGTTATCTACAGAGATGTGAAAACACTGACTAAAGTATGGTTGGCACAGAAATCTGTTCTTTTCATTGTCTTAAAATCCGAACCTCTGTAATTACACCTCCTTCTACAACTGAGGCAACGTCTGTCCTTTTTCAGCAGAACCACCGGAGAGGACTTGGACAGACCTTCTCCGTTCTGCTGTTCCCGGAAGGACAATGGAAGCGGTTACCAACAGCCGTATTCTTGGGGGTGCTTTCGCCGCCCCTCACATCATCCGGACAGCTGTCTATTTACACGGTGAGCTATTTGCAAAGCTTCCAATTTAAAGATCCATCTGGTTCTTACATCAAGCTGAGCCACGATCTTAAGGCGCAAACCCAAACACACCAGGGAGACGCGAAAATTTAGGAACGCGCGTGTTTATATTGTATTTGCATTAATGCTTCCTAGAGTTTATTTTCAAAGTGAAGAGAGAACAATGCATAGTAGGCTATTAAACCCAAACATAATCAGTTTAAAGTTAGGGGCGTGCTCCTAAGAATATTTTTCTCCTGTTTTGAAGGGTCCACTTGAGGAGGGAGTCGGGGGGGTTGGGAAGGCGGACAGGGGCGGAGGAGGGACTGTTGTGAATTCTCCGCAGGGCTGGGCCTCCCCTGCGGGCCACTGCTGTTTGTCATATGGAATGGATTAGGCCTTCTCTCTCACACTGTCAACTTGGGTGTTCTGTGCACAGCCTGTTTTTGCTGGGGTCTTGGTTTTGCTTTTTATAACGGCAGGAAGTGCCCCTCTCGGACCACATGTGAAATCGTGTGGGAACGGTTGGGAGGGGGTGGGGGAACAGAGAGGAGGGTGAGTGGGGTGTGCGGATGAAAAAGCCTCCCCTGAAATATACGGCAGTGGGGGAGCAGGGAAGGGGGAGATGCGCCCTGGCCAATTTAACTTTATGGGGCCTGGCTGGCAGGAGGAGGAGGGCGTGGAGGCCTGCTTGAGGAGACCCTCCTGTCCCTAACGGATCTGCCCCTAATATTTTCCAATGCCGCACAGAATCGTGGGGGACCATTAAAGCATGAGGGCTTGCAGCTGCTGTTTAATTTGTTCTAAATTTCCTGCCGGCCTCACCAGACGTGTACAGGAAATGGGCGGTAAATGTTTAATAGGTCATACCTAACCAGACAATTAACAGGTGCTGTCATTTAGAAAATCCCAACCTGTGTATGTGCATATCGGAGCCGAATCAAGCCCCCTGGGTTTTGTTTTTCCTTCTGCACAAAGGCTTGCTGTGATGTCATGCGGAGGGACCCACAGGGACCTTCGCAGAAAACAACTGGACAGTGGTGGTGCCCCCTCGGTTTCCCGTGTGGCCAACCCTGCCCTTCTGCATCCCAGGACGCTGCCCATGGAGCCTGAGCCTGGGGCTGACCCAGCAAGCCGAGGCCCGCAGCCGGGAGCTCTGTCTTCATGAAGAAGCTGCTTCCCCATCTGCAGCTCCTTCACCACCTGCTCCCTGGGCAGGGGGAGGGCCAGACAGAAGCAAAGAGGGGGCGAGGCCCTACTCTGGCACCCACATCTCAGACAGGACCAGGGCGCCAGTCGAGCTTGAAGCAGGGCGTGTGTGTGCGTGCACGTGCGTGTTGTACCTGAGCGGGGGTTGAGGAGGGTGTCTGAGGCGCCCCAGGTTTGTCTCATGATGGGTCCTTGCATCTCCCCCTTAATTCCTGGACCGGTTCGTTCCCCGCAGACCTTTCCCAGGTCCGCCCTCCAAACCATATCACAGAGGGGAAACTGAGGCACGGCGGGCTCAGACCTTGCCTGGGTCCACAAAGCTAGCTGGTGGTGGAGCTGGGATTGGAACCCAGAAATCTGTGTCCAGAGCCCCATGTTTGACTATGTCACCAAAGGACAAACTGGAAGATAAAGCACTGTGACCCGCACTCCCAACAGCAACCTGTTAAGATTTTTAGACAGTTTCTCTTGAGCTTTCCTCTATGGAATATTTTTTCTCACAAAATCAGTATTATATTCTCTAGGTAGTTTTGCAACCTTGTACTTAAAATTGCTATCATGGGGTGATCACTTCCTGTGGTTGACATGCAAAAATATGGTTCTCAAATGTTCCATCTAATAGATATGCCTTAAATTACTCAATCAAGCCCTATTTTTGACAAGGCTTTTCCTAATTTTTCTTATTTATAGACCAAGCCAGATTGCACATCCTTGTACTTATCTGTGATTATTTTAATGGTTTTCGAATTGGAGCAAAGGTAGCTTACAAATACAGAGTTCTCGAGTCACTGGGGAGGCTGGCGTGGGAGAAGGGGGAAGAACCAAGGAGTCACCTGCTTGGGGCCTGATGAAGAAGGGGCGGGACCTCCTCTGTGGCCCGGCGGATTGGGCGGAGAGGGCTTGGGCTTGGGTCGCGGTCATCTTTACCTGCGTGGTCGGTTCTGTTCCGGGGCAGTTCCATCGGCATGACGAATATTCTCAGACGTGCGGACTGGGCTGAACGGGCTGTCTGGGGCTGCAGGGAGCCTGGGGTGAGAGCAGCACGGACTGGGGGTCTGGGCGGTCAGGCCAGGTTAAATGGTGCCTCGCTCGTCTGTTCCCTATCCGCTTGACTCCGCCGAAGAGCGTGTTTGTTCCTGTGGGTAAAAGATGAGTCAGACCCAGCTTCTGGCCTCAGGAGTCAGTCACCCAGCCCCTGGCTGCTCAAGGTGTGGTCCTGGTCCAGCCTTAGCATCACCAGGCCCTTGTTAGAAATGTAAGGCTCAGGCCTCACGGGATCAGAACTGCATTTTAACAGGAGCCCGGGGAGTCATGTTACGTGAAGCACTTGGAGAGCTCACGTACATGTTGTCCCTGAGACCGTAAGTCACGTCTGTTGATCCCTCTCTACCTCCTATAAAATAGCACAAAGGCAGGGTAGAAAACGACCCCATACACAGTGCTACAGCCGCGTCCCTGACGGAACTTGGTCAGCTTTGAGGGCAGGCGGCTTCCTCTCAGCGACCACTCCCTGCTGTCCCCGTCCCCAGGGCCTTGCACGTAGAAAGCCCCTCAGTAGACGTGTGTGGCAATAAACTCAGCGCGAGAGGGAAACAGCAATAGTTTGTTCTCCCACAAAAGAATCTGCAAAGAACTTAGGCTCTCACGCCCCCTCACACCCGTTTTCAACCCACTTCAGGTGTCATGAAACCTCAAGGCATTTAGGCAAAGGCTCCTGACAGAGGGACCAGCCCTTGTGAGGTTCTCAGAAGGCCTGACCACTCCTGACGTGTCCGTGCCACCTTGGTGTTTATTGCCGAGCTTTGACAGTGAGAGGTGCCCTCACGTTCCTTGGTCTGATGGGTGTTTAAAAGTCAGAGCTGGAAGTGAGGTGACGAAGCACCGGGTGTGCCTGGGGCTGCTAGGTTTCCTGAGCCGAGGGACTTTCAGTGATGAGACCAGGAGAGTCCCGAGTACACGGGATTCCGGTCACCTCACCCTAGCTGGAAGGTGTCTTCAGAGTCCCCTGTGCGATGCACTTATCTTACAGAGAAACGTACTGAAGCCTGGAGGTGCCCTGGGACTCCTCAAGCCTCCAGAGTTGGCTAGAGGTTGCCTTGAATGCACGCCCCCAGGTCTCCTGGCCCCCAGGCACCAAGACTCGAAAAGTCCATGCGGGTGTCTGGATGGAAATTGTTGCATTGGCTGCCAGGCGACCCTCAGCTCCCACCCTCCCTGCTATTACCTGCGTGAAGTTCATGTCTAATGGGTTTCAAAAGATGGTTTGAAGACAACATCTGAAACGTCTTCTAATAGTCCATGACTAATGGGCTGGACTTGGCTGTCCAATAAATTGTCTGCTCTATGGGGCAGCTACGGTGATGGGCCTCAGACACCCTTATCAGCACTTGGTGCTCATGTAAACTGACTCTCATTAATGACAGGATGAGAACGGTGACGCTGTGCAGGCCTCTGCCTGCTGTCCTCATCACGCCGTGAAGCCCAGCTGCTAATAGCGGTGCAGACTGCGGACGTGAAGACGGGTGGCAGGTTGCACAGACATGCCTAATTTCAAACAGTTGATGTCGGTTGTCATTTCGGCCAGAAGGCTCCTTCCGCTATGCTTGGCCACGACAGAACAGGCCTTGTGGGGCTGGCGTGCAGCTCGGGGCGCAGTGACGTCCCTGCCGGAGAGATTTTAATTTTCTGAAGCAGAGGGTGTAAGCGGTGGATTGGGGGCTGAATCAGTCAGTAGGTGTATTTACATTTTTAAAAATTGCTTCATAGCGCTTAAAAACAGAATATTTTATTTAAAAACCTAGACCTCCGGCTTCTCTTGACAAATTGGAAGGCCCAGCTGCAGTCGGATATGGCAACAACTGGCTGGGTGTGGGTGCGGGCATCCCCTTTGGCTAAGGCTGTGCTTCTCAGTGTGTTCCAGTCCCCACTGCTCCCTGCCGGCTTGCGCCTGGCCCAGACTCTGGTAATTTAAAGCACATGCCTGGCTGCTGTAGGCATTGGAATCTGTGATCCTGTTTCAGAGTCTCTCATTTTATTCTTTAAACAGCCTCGAAAGGAGAAAAGAGATGGGTTGCAAGGGCACGAGAAATGTAGAAAGGAGTCGTGACGGGCAGCCAAGCATTCTGGGTCTGTGCCTGGGCTCTGTGACCCGGCCCAGAGGCTGCGATCCATGTGACGCTCGTGTGAGTGGGAGGGCTGCTGGAACCACCTCAGGAATCCGTCCAGTGCGGTCCCTCCTTCTCTGCTGTGGAGTTCGGAGCTTTTGTCCCCCGCTGCCCTCCCAGAGCGGGGAAGTTCAAGCCAATGCAAAATGCTGGAGGAAAAACTGACTTGAGGGCCTCTGGGTCTGGCGGCACCTAGGACTCAGAACAAGCCCCCAAGCCTTTCCGGGCCTCGGCTTGCAAAGCAAGCGTGTTGGGAGCAGGCGATCCCTGAGGATGCCTTTCTCTCTGACACTGAGAATCTGAAGTCCCCGGAGATGCCTGTCCCACCGTCCAGGTGATGTGGCGAGTGTCCAGAGACCATGAAGGAGAGGTGTGGTCCCAAGGCTGCGGGAAGAGACGGAGGGTTCAACCTGGAACGTGGTGTGGAGGGCGGGAAGGGGAGCTGGAGTGTTCTCACCAGGCTTTCAGCTCAGCCCCCTTGCCTCCTAGCTGGGTGACCTCGGGCAAGCCTTTTCACCTTTCTGGTGTCCAGTCTTTTTATCTGTCAAATGGGGATAATGATGCTAATCTTGGAAGCGTTCTTGTCGAAAGGTGTAAAGGACTCACAGCCCAGCATTGGCACTGATAAAA